CAGTTTCCCACAGATGGCGCCAAAATGTAACTGCACCAAACCGGAAGTCCTTCTTCAGTCCGTATCTGCACTCTAGATTGACCTGCAAAGCCCCGAGGTGGATCATCGGGGTAGACACTCCGATGCTTAAGTCAGCAATAATCGAGGTTACCTTTGAAGCGGAGAAACAAGGAGCTTAGGGTTGGTTTCAATTACCTTTTTTACGTGGCCCTTAAGGGGTATTTATATGTTCCGATGAAGAATCCACGCGTCATGCCAATCAAGATGTCAGGCAAGATATCCGGAATCCGATGTGTATCTCCATGCAGTTATTTCGGGACCGGGAGATTGAGCCGAGCAAGATATTCGGGATTTGATATGTATCTCCAAGCAGTTATTTCGGGATTGGGGGATTGAGATATGTTTAGATGTAAGGATGTCCATCGTAACAGCTGTGTAGCTGTTCGAGCGGAAAGCTTTGGACTTACCCTTACACTTCTCCTCTCTCTTGTTTTTTTTCTCTCTCTTCTGCGTAGAGTACCTTGTATAAAATAAAAAGGCAACGAGGATGATCCTTGGGAATTAATGCTATGTATATGTATCAGTTTCTTGTCAATGAAATCATTTATCATACAAGAATCACCATTTAGTTTTTACCTGCTGCTTTTATTTTTATGACAAATGCATGAAAATACATTACTCCTACATATAACCATTGCCCTTTGGCCCCCAAGAGAGAACTTGAACTAATCTAACAAATGGTAAGGATCTACTACCATTAGTTATATGATTTAGTAGTAAAATTATTGGTATCCTTAGTCATAAGTTCGGGATTCAATTTTTTCATCTTTAAATATAAAAAAAGTAAAGATCTACCAATTTAATACTTCTCTAAAGAAAAAGAATAATGATTAATAGACAAATAAACCTGAGAATCAAATTTACAGAAATGTTCTAAAGGTTTTTTTTCTCGATCCTAATCCTGCTAAAAGCTACATCTACATACCATGATTTTACACAAAATGAAAAAGATGGAAATACTAACCTAAAGGGCTAAAGAAAAAGTACGTAAGTTGCCCTGTTTTGTCATCCTAAAGGCTTATTAACAAAATCTAAACCCCACTTTCAATGATCAGTTCTGCGGCTGCACCCATGGCACCAAACCCTCCAAGCCCCAGCAAGGCTAGAGCCAATTCTTCCTCGTTCCATTGCTTCAACCCTTTGCTCATCCTTTTCAGAACATCAACATCAACCTCCAACACCCATGCTTGCGTGCAAGAAACCATCAAGCTTACGAATCCTGTCACATATGCCCGCCAAGTAGCAGAATCACAACCAAGTGATATCTTTCCATCCAATGCACTTGCAAGAAATTCCAAGTGGGCTCCGAGAACCTTTGGTCGCCGCTTTGAGGCTGCCGAGGCTGTATCAATGCCCCATGCAAACGTCCCACAAAGCACTGCAAAGTATGCAAGTGCGTAACCCCCCAGCATAGAAATTGCAGCTCCATATTCCCCACCTTCATGGTCTGATGCATGGACCGATAGAAACCAAGATGGTAACGTCTCTTTGATTAAGGATTGGACCAAGCTTGATCCACCAGATATCCAAACCAATGTAGCCCCAAGTGAAGCAGCAAGCTTGACTCGAGTCATTGATGAAGCGAGAGAAACTTGCCCATATCTCATTCCATACTTTGTCTTCTTCAGTTTCTCCAGTTTCTCTTGTGGTGGCCCACTACTAGCTATATCTCTGACTGAAGTCATTAGAAGAGACAGAATTTCTTCTGTCATGAACATGATATCTCTGATAGATCGATGCACCCTTAAGTACAGAATCCCTGGTGCAACTGGAGACATACCCCCAGAGAAGTGAGACCCAAATCCATGTCCAAGAAGTGCACTTACTCCACCATTGCTGCAAATGTGGACAGGACTAAGCCCAAGAGTGGATGTGAAGCAACTCCTTAAGAGTTGAACCACAGCATCACTGCTATGGTGGAAGACAGTACGAGAAGCAGAGAACACAAGGAAATCACTCCAGCGCTTTGCTTTCTGAGCCCAAAGTGAGGCTATAATGGGCATGCAAGGCCAGGGACAGCCTTCGGCTAGGGAATTCAAGGCTGGGCCTATTAGCACGAGAAAGCGTTCAGAGGCTTTCTCAAGCTTATAGGTTATTGTGAGGCTAACTAGGGCAGCCAATGGCAAAGGAAGCATGGCTGGAGAGTTCCCCCCTGTGAGCAAAAACAAATATTGAGACTTAATACTTAATTGATTTGTCATAAATTTTGGACTACACTTCTCTTGTTCCATATTCTTCAAAAGTAAAAGGAAATGCTCCTAATTACCTAGAACAAATTTGTGTTAAAAGTACATATGGATTAGCACTAGCAGCCCCAGTTGGGCTGGCAATGTGCAGCAAAAACCTTGGCATGGAATCTCTATAGAGACCATTGAAATATTTACCCCCTTTCCCCCAAAATTCACCTTTTTCAAAAAAAAAGTACATACAGATTGACTTGACTTTTAATTCATATGCTTTATTTTTCAAGAAAAGGCGCAAATAAAGATGTCAATTTTGCACTTTTTTCTATTTAAGGATGTTAACTTTGTCAATTTCTAAATAAAGATGCCAACTTTCAACTTTTTCTATTTAAGGATGTCAACTTTTAAGTTTTTTCTATTTAAAAATATCAACTTTCAACATTCTGGTTAAAAAATCCCTTTGTCACATTAGCATTATCATCTAATTAATCCGTAAATAAACAAAAGTTAAAAGTTTGTATCCTTATATAGAAAAAGTTGAAAGTTGACATCCTTAAATAGAAAAAGTTGAAAGTTAACATCTTTATTTAGAAACTAACAAAGTTAACATCTTTAAATAGCAAAAAGTGCAAAGTTAGCATCCTTATTTATACCTTTTTTCTTACTTTTCCAGAAAAGCTAATTTAAAAACCAAGAATAATTTTTGGTGAGGGCAGTTTAATGATGTGCCTTTCTCTCGTTAGAAACCAGTATACGTTTAGAAAGAGAATGAAAAAGAGAATAATGGTTTTTTTTTTTTTTTTTCTTTTGGCCTTTGTAGAGAATAATGTAATTATGTAAAGTAAATACCTGCGGCAAGGCTGGGGACATCAACACCAGTGGCAGCTATAATTTTCTTGATTTGTTGTTCGACAGAAGATAGATTCGCAGCAGGGCTTGGCCAATCTGTTCCATTCATGAAAGCTGACTTCCATATTCCCCGTGTTACTTCAGCAGAAAAGTAGCTGACAATAGTTGCCAGAGTTGCCGGCAGAAAATCAGCAAGATCTTTGAGTCCTGGCACAATGCAAGCAATGAAGTCAAGTACAGAATATTACAGGAGTCAACAAGAGGTGACTTTAACTGATAGCCTAAAAGTTCAATTAGTGCACAATGTAGAATGTATATTTTAACTTGTGGGAGCTCATAAAAAGTGTTTGGTAAAATCATACAGGGGAGACAGGGAGACTGGCAACAAGGATTGTAGGCTGGCACTGGTTATTAATTTGCAACCAGCTATTTTTGGCTGGAAATTTACAACTCGCCTAACGCACTAAAATTGGATTTATGTTTGGTTTTCCATCACGGCCAGAGACTGAAAAAAGTACACAAGATACTATCAAAAAATATTGTGTAACCACCAAAACTGGAAACAAGTAAAATTCAGATTAATTGTGTCTGCCCAACTTGGAAATTTGAGCTTTACAAAATTGCACAAACCTGTGGCAAATTCACGGGGAGAGAGTTTTCCATGGCCACATGCTGCTAGAGCAGCATCCAGGACAAAGGGAGTTGCTTCCAGGATATCCCATGCAGGCACTTTCAGTCTGCTAGAGAAATCCTCAGTTCCAGATACAGATGAATTACTACTTCCAGAAGATGTAGGAGTTAAGGACTGGCTACCCCTGTTCATCTTTCTGAACATCATATGGAGGAGAGCATCAACAATTTGATGAACAGTAGTCCCTTGTACAAGACCAGAGAGGGTGGAGGCAATGCATTCTTGATGTTGCTGATACCAGCATTTTAAGTTGGGAAAAGAATCCATAAATATGGGCTCTGGAGAGAAATTTAAATTCCTTGATAGTCTCTTGCCTTTCAAGCGATCTTTTGGCAATTTTCCAAAAGATGCCAGCTGATTGTTCCGAACCAACAAAAGATAATCAGGACTTAGTTGAGATCCCACAGGTGGCACATCTCCCATGACATGTTCAAGAGGTGGATGATCAAACCTCCATAACCTTAGTAAAAGAGTAAATGCATTGGTAAACACTGCATGACAAGACAGTTCTTCCCCTGTTGGAAGGGTCCATGAAACATTTGGATTTGACCCAAAGACCTCACAGATAGGCATTAATGCAGCAGCGAGTAGTGGAGCCTGTCAAAAATATCAGACATCATTGACGACATTAGGATTTTCCTTTCTTTCCAAAAATAGCTGATTGTTTCAATGAAGTTTCTGCATTAGGATTCACTAAGTTTTAAATAGGTGAACACACCATGCATTCTTAACTAGTTAATGCAATTTAATGGGCTCCATTCATGCAGAAATGATTTCCTAGTTAGTTAATGAAACTTAACAATCGATCTGTACTGGGAAACAAACAGCTGTCCAGGGTCTCATTTGTCTAATATTACAGGAGTTAAACAGGAAAACTATCTGGGTTTACCACAAATTTGGAAACTTTCATGTAAATGGGACTTGTGGAATCATTTAGCTAACCTGCTGAAAGACTTGCAGCCTTAACCATTTTTCCTTTTTTATAATTAATGGAACTCTGGAGCATGCACTTAAATAAATATTACAAACTTCAGTATTTTCAGAAAAATATATTATAAAGTCAGCGAGAAAAAGAAGGTTCTTGAAAAAAACATACTGAGCCATGCAAAGAAAATATCTGTACGCAGTCTACAGGGGATATTCCAACAAGAAGAACATTCAGGAATGGAGCAAAACCAATCAAATGGCTATCAGTTCCCGAATAATCCGCAGGAACTGGAGGTGACAACAACCTAACAATGAAAAGAATGGTGTGTTCCTGCAGAGAAAGGCACCAAAATGAAATCCAATTGAGCTGGTAAGTGCCTTAAAAAAGATTAAAACAAAAAAGAATAGCACCTACAAAAAGAATGTAAGGCATATTGTAACAAGTGGCCTTCTGTCACTTACCTGTATACTCCAACCACGAACTAGAGATGCCCCACAAAGAATGGTTGCAGCAGATATCTTCTCAGCATTTGAACCATTGATTGCAATCTCATATATTTTCTCAATCTCTACTACGCTTTCATCAAATCAATGAACTTAAATTTAGTTGCTTTACCACTAGGTAAATTTACAAAAAAGAGATATACCTGGCTCCAGGAAGAAGAATGTGTAACTGAAGGCCAGGTAATAACGAGAAAAATAAGGATACTGTAGTTAATGGCTTGGCTTTACTATTTCTTGCACCCTATATATATATATGAGTAGGGATTCATTTACACACAAGTTTTACACACCATGCTAACACAAAATCTTGACCATTCATTTCTCCACCTTCAATGGTTGATATTTATTCACTTTTTATCATATTTATTAAAGACAATTATCTTCTTCACCTACAAAGCCGTGATAAAACCATTGAAAATGGAAAGACGAATGGTTGAGATTTTGTGTAAGTATAATTTGTAAGATTTGTGTGTAAATGGATCCCTCTCTCTCTATATATATATACCTACACAACTACTCTTGTGCAAGTCTTACATAAAGTTATCAGCCACTGGTTTCCAAATCCAATGGCTTGAGATATATTATTAAATATAGAATCATCATTTTCAACTATTGGATTTAGAATAATATATGTGAGACTTACTCATGTCTAGGTGGATCCTAACATATATATATATATAAGGATCCACTTACCCTCAAGTCTTACACACCACATTTACACAATCTCAACCATTCATCTCTTTACTTTCAATAGTTGAAATTTATTCACATTTATTAATGATATTTTTTTTTAATCTAAAAAGTCATAATAAATCTCAACCATTAAAAATGGAGATGAATGATCAAGAGTTTGTATAAGTGTAGTGTGTAAGACTTGTGTGTAAGTGGATCCCTCCTCTATATATGAAAAGTATATAGCAGTCCTGACTCTCAAAAAAAAAAAAGGATATTAAAATCAATTTCCAAATGCAGGTA